TATACTGTCCTGCTGCCTTACACATTTAAATCAGTCACATTATGTATGATCTGTGTTCTGTAACAAGGTCCTCACTTGCGCCTTGAAATTTGTGTTCAGCTCATGTTTAGCTAGTGAAAATCAGTGTTTCATTATCACTATTTTTTAAATAGAGTTGTGCTCATTATTAAAGTATATATCGCAGAAGTGGGTTTTTTTTGGTCTTTTTGAGATAGGTTCTTACTATGTGGTTCAGGCTGACCTTGGGCTCACTTTGTAGCCCAGGCTGATCTCAAACTTGCAGTGATCTGCCTTACCTCAGCCTCTCGAGTGCTGGGAATACAGGAGTGCACCACCACAGCCTGCAGAAGTGTTCTTGAGTTTAACTGATCAAGAAGCAAATTCTGGACTTCCAGGAGAACATGGCAGACAGATAGCAGCAGCTATGGAGGCTCTCTGAAAGACCCAGCTTAGAATTCAGGAATGGTGTGGAGTAAGGAATCATAAGCAAGTGGAGATATGCCCTGCTGACCCAAGAACGAACTGGGCTGAGAGAAACCAACTGGGAATGCAATCCTGATGCTATAACAGGAACAGAAAAGCCTCAGTGTGAAAGCTGGAGCCCGCGCCATTGGAAGCTGCGATTTGGGTTTCCAGCTGCTGCTGCTGCGTCTACATCCGCTCGGCAGGGAGAGAGACGATCGACGATCGAAAGCTCTGAGAACGGGAATCGGTGAACGGAATTGAAAGCAAGGATGGGTGGGGAGCTGTGCATTGACCTGTAGTGAGTGAGAGAAACTGGGACTCTTCCATGGTCTAGGAGACTCCAACAGAGGACATTCTGGGACCGGGCAGACTTGCGGGAACAGGGCGCTGCAGTGACTTCAGTCACGTATCCCCCTCTCAAGCGGGATTGGTGAGTAGTGCCTAGCCTACGTGAAGCTGCTGGCTGAGACCCAGTAGGCTAGCACACCCCAGGTCCCAGTGCCTGAAGGTAAATTGACCTGGAGGGGCGGGCCCCACATAGGCTGCCTGGTCTGCAACTTCCTGGTGCACTGCAATGGGCGGGAACACCTAGCCGGCCCAATTCAATCAGACTGTGGCCGACAGGAAAGGAAGCTGGGCTTCCTATATACGCTTGTATATATAAGGAACAAACAATATGGGAAGAGGCAGCAACAAGAAAGGGTCCTCAGCCCCCAATCCTGAGAAAGAGGCAATAGCAGACACAGCACCAATTGATACAAAGCGCTATCTCCAGAGCCTCATAGACAAGTTCAGGAATGAAGTTATTAATGACCTGAAGCTAGACATAAGCAGAATAGTTAGAGAAATGCTAAGCATCACCCAAGAAAAAACAGATGGTGGAATGGAAGAACAGAAAAAGAGGGGAGAATTGTTTGATGGAGAAAATAGAGAAAGCATAGAATACGTGAAGCAGGTTCAAAGAGATTACCAGGAAACTAAAAACTCTATTGAAAACTGGCATAACAGCTTGAAAGAAACTAAGGACAGATTATCTGAACTGGAGGGCAGATTTGTAATATGGGAGAATGAAATGAAAAACTTCTTAAAAATAACAAAGAAACAGCAATAATACAAAGACTAGAAGATGATAAGAGGATCTATAACTTAAGAATTAAGAACATAAAAGAAGAAGTAGGGACACAAACAAATGAACTACAAAAGCTACTCACAGAAATAATCCAGGAGAATTTTCCTAATTTAGCAAAAGGTAAAGATACTCAGTTGTATGAAGCATACGGGACCCCAGCCACCTACAACTCAGACACAGCAACACCCAGGCATATAATAAGTAAAATTCCAGAAATCCAATACAATAACAGAATATTAAAAGCCGTCAGAGACAAGGAACAGATCACTTACAAGGGAACACCCATCAGAATTACAGCAGATTTCTCGGCACAAATCATCAAATCATGAAGAGCAGGGGGGGAAATAATTCAAGCTTTGAAAGATAATAATCTCCAGCCAAGATTGATATATCCTGCACAACTATCCCTGGAAATTGATGGAAAAACCAGGTGCTTCCAGGATAAAGAGGAACTAGGGGAATATGCAACCACCAATTCAACTCTACAGAGAATACTGCAGAATATTCTAAAAAAGAAAAATACGAAGAATCCAGAAATAGTGGCCGAGAGGCCACAATGAATGGAGCAGAAAACAAAATGAAGAAGACAAACTAACAACTAATGACAGAAAAAGAGCTCAACAGAAATGAGGCAGAGAAGATTGGATGATAGGAACAGCTACTTTGGAGAAAATGACATCTTAATAGGTAATACTGATTTAGTATCATCTTGTTTTGAAGTCTCATCAAGTTTTTGTTCTGTCTCCACTGGTCTAAACAGGTTGTGTCTTATTGGATTTTATTATGTATGATAGTATAAGCAAAAACTTTTATAGACAAGGAGATTATACAGAAACCATTGTTCATTTTCTGTTAGTTGATTCTAAATACCCTGTAATACTGTCATTCTCTTAAATGGTTTTACATTGTTTTGATATATTTGATGCTACAGTATACGAAGTTATACTCAAAGATTTCAAGGAAAGACACAATATGGTAATTACTTTTATGTCGGGATTATCTTGTGGTGAAACACTATTTTGCTGAAATGGTTATGTTTTGATCTGCGCTGTTTTGCTGTTATGCCCTCTTTTATCTCTATCTCCATTTTATTATTTACTTTTTTATTTTTATCCTTTTAATTAAGGGAAAAATAAATTTAAAAATAGCAGGATATATTATAGTAACCCACTTTGACTTTCCATTATCTTGATTTAAAGCCCAGTATTGCTCTCACCATCTTGTTTTGACTGATGTTCCTCTATTCTATTTTGCTTGATAGTACCAGGTTCGAAAGTTTAGACAACAGCTGTGAAGATAGTGGGATTCATTATGACGCCCATTCTGGTTGACTATTATCTACTTTTGAAGACCTATAATGTCTCCAGTGTTTTGGTTTTGCCGATTTTGTTCTCTAGTGTTTTGTTCAATTTTATTATAACTGATGATATAGGCAATTCTATTAGAGATAGCGGGAGGCATTATGGTAACCATTGTTGATCACCTTGTATTATGCTTTTACATTATCTATTATGTCCACCCTTTTGATTTGACTTGACTCTGTTCTGTTATGTCACATTTGGTTCTACTTTCTTCCAAAAAAGTAATAAGAACTGTGGGAGCAACAAAACCCAAAATATGTAATTGTCATTGTACAAAAGAGAGGAAAAGAAAGTGCTCTAAATGATATAACTGCATGGATATTTAAGTGTATAAAATAGATAATGATATTACTGAGTTCTGTTGGATCATTGAATAGAACTGTTTGCAGTCTCACTGTTGGAATGTCCACTTTATAAGCTTTAATTTTGTAACTTGAACAATTATTTCTAAGATGACAATATGTAATCCATTAACTAGTGATTTCCTACTGTTTATTTTTTTCTGTAAATCTGTATAACTTGTACCCTTTCTCTGCTTTTTTTCTTTTTCTCCTTAAATAAAATTTTTAAAAAAAGCAAATTCTGGATCAAACATTAACAAGGTTATGTTATTTTTTTAACATTAGCATAAAGCCGGGCATGGTGGTGCATGCCTTTTTTTTTTAATTTGGGGGAGGGAGTACTGGGGATTGAACTCACAACCTCGCACTTGCCAGGCAGGCACTTATACCGCTGAGCTAAATCCCTGGCCTGCCTTTTTATTTTAAAAAATAAAAAAAGAATAAAACTTACAATTTTAGATATGCTTAGATCTGCTACAATGAAAAAGCTAATTATATTGCCACCCCTTTACTATTTTTTCTCTTTATTTGCATACAATGCATTCCTAAGAATCTTCAAATACAAAAGCATATTATTTTCTGCCTGGTACAATGGTGTATACCTCTCATCTCAACTACTTAGGAGACAGAGGCAAGAGGAACACATGTTTGAAATCAGCCTGGGATACTTAAGCAAGACCTCATTTGAATAAAAAAAAAAAAAAAGCATTGGGAGCGTGGCTCGGTGGTAGAGCACCCCTGTGTTCAGTCATCAGTACCACAGACACACACTGTCAGCTGCTTTCTTCCCCAAGCAAACAGTCCAGTCTGTCAAGTCAGAGTGTGTTATGTGGTCATGTATTAAAGTCTTGGTCTACTAAAGTGGAAAGCTAAATTTACGATAATTAAGTCAGCTATTTAATGTGACTTATTTAAGTAAATAAAACATCGAGGTTGCTGAGCATGTTACGCCTGTAATCTAAGCCCTTGGGAGACTAAGGCAGGTAGATCACTGCAAGATCAAGGACAGCCTGGACTTCATAAGTTCAAGGCCAGCCTGAAGGATGTAGCAAGACCTTGTCTTAAAAAATAAATTATGGTTAATCAATGTAGCTACCATTTATTGAGCATCTACCATAGGTGATAATGTTTTATGTTTCAGTCATTGAACAGTTCTACTGGAATTAGGATGATTTTTCCTCCTGTGGATTAGGTGTAGAGAAGTTGAAGAAGTTCCTGGAGATCATATGTCTTATAGTATGCAGCAGGGGTAGGATTCAGACACATGCATTTATTGTGATCGTGCTAAGTAACTCCACAGAAGGCTCAGAATATTTGTAAGTATTATGACAGACATTTGAGTCTTAGTCACTTTTTAGAAATAGAAGGCTAGTTCTGGAAACTACTGTCAGACTTGGATAATGAGATTTTATTCTAGTTGAGTGAAAAGAGGCCACTACCCGTTTTTACCACTAGATGGTGGCAGAAAATTAAAAACAAAAGTTTTAGAGTCAAAGAAAGTGTAGTGAGATGTGTGTCCCTAGAGGTGGAAGGGAGGCTGAGGTAGTCAGGAGCGAGGGGAGGGTGAGAGCTGAGGATGGTGTTAGACAAGGCCCGGAGAGAAGCAGCAAGGGGCAGACTGACAGAATTCTTGGGGAAGTACATTATAAAACAGAATGCTAGTTCTGGACTGTGTGTTATTTAAAATGGCATTGCTCTGCTTAGTTTTCAGATGCCGCAGGCATGAGCAGAGCCGTGTTCAGGTCATGCATTGCTCAGAGGGACCGACTGAGTGTTAACGATGGATACGTGCAAACACATCACACAGTTGCAGCTTGCCCAGGACCATTCCATCCTCAGCCCTCAGAAATGGCATTGCGTGGACTGCAGTACGACCGAGTCCATCTGAGCCTGCCTCAGCTGTCCCCACGTCGCCTGTGGACGCTACATTGAAGAACATGCACTCAAGCACTTTCACAAAAGCAGTCATCCTGTCACATTGGAAGTGAACGAGTTGTATGTTTTCTGTTATCTCTGTGACGATTATGTCCTGAACGACAATGCAGCTGGAGACATGAAGTCACTACGAAGTACATTAAGTGTGATCAAAAGTCAGAGTTACTGTACCACTCGTAGTGGGAGGGTTTTACGACCCGTGGGTACGAGTGACAGTTCTTACTTTGTACCTTATGGCACCCAGTCTCTGCTCCGGAATGAAGAGCAAATGTGTACTGCTCTGTGGCACAGGCGAAGGATGCTCATGGGGAAAATCTTTCGGACGTGGTTTAAACAATCATCCATTGCAAGAAAAAGGCAAGATGAACAAGCTCAGGAAAAATGGTAGCAAAAAGAGAAGTGAAAAAAAGACAGCAAGAGTTGCCAGAGCATCAGGTGAAAGCAGAATTGGACAGTATGCCTCCCAGGAAGAGCTCACGCTTGCAATGTGCAGTTCAGTCCGCCACAGCCAGCATGGTTCCCGTTCAGGTGTCAGCACAAAGCCCAGCGTCCCCAGCCAAGGCGAAAACCACATCTACCTCAGAAGACACAAAGCTGAAGACAACTGCAGATACCCCAGCTGCACGAAGGCCGGTGGTGACTCCTGGGGTCACCGGGCTGAGAAATTTGGGAAACACTTGCTATATGAATTCTGTTCTTCAAGTGCTGAGTCACTTACTTATTTTTCGACAGTGTTTTTTAAAGCTTGATCTGAACCAGTGGCTGGCTGTGACTGCTGGTGGCAAGACAAGATCCTACAGTCGTCCCTGTGTGACAGACGCCATGGTGTATCAAGTGGGAAAGTGCCAGGAAAAAGACCCAGGCTTTCTTTGCTCTAGCCACTCAAGTATATCGTCAAGACTGAGTGGCGGAGCTTCCAGAAGAAGAAATAAGGAGCTCATTCAGCCCAGGGAGCCACGCTCACAGTATTTCTCTCTTTGCCACGAATTGCACACCTTGTTTGAGGTCATGTGGTCTGGAAAGTGGGCCCTGGTCTCACCCTGTGCTATGCTCCACTCAGTATGGAGGGTCATTCCTGCTTTTTGTGGTTATACCCAACAAGATGCTCAGGAGTTTCTTTGTGAACTTTTGGATAAAATACAAAATGAGCTAGAGACAACGGGTAGGGTGCCAGCACTTCTCCCCACTTCTCAAAGGAAACTTATCAAGCAAGTTCTCAATGTTGTAAATAATATTTTTCATGGACAGCTTCTTAGTCGGGTAAGGATCTTTTAAAATCTTTTGTGTGTGTATGTGTGAGACTAGGAATTGAACTCAGGACCTTGCACTTGCCAGGCAGGCACTGTGCCACTGAGCTGTATCCCTGGCCTGGACCATTTGAAATCTTGTCATCTCCATCTTGAGGAATTCATAAAATGAAGCCGGGAGATGCACATCCTGTATGCTCTGTTAGAGCTTAGCCAACTCATTTGCAGTTCTTTCCTTCACTGGAAGTTCTCCCGTCATGGACACCTTTCTGAGAGAGGTGGAATTAGGGAACAATTTCTAAGCTAGTGATAGTATTCTTAGCGGGATTAAGAAAGGAGGTTGAGGGGCTGGAGGTTTAGCTCAGCGGCATAAGTGCCTGCCTTGCAAGCAGGCAGTCGTGAGTTCGATCCCCGGTACCAATAAAAAGGAAAAAGACCAAAAAAAAAAACATTAAAAAAAAAAAAGAAAGGAGGTTGAGTCCAGAGGGAGGGAGCAGCTGAAGAGATGCTGCTGTCCTGGGAAGGGCTGTGGCGCACACGTGAGCAGTGGCCCTGTGGGCCCTGGGGACAGGCGGAGGGCAAAGTCCTGCACGAGTGAAAGTAAACGACTGAACATGGTTTCATCCACAGTAAAAACCTTAAGAGGTCTTCCTTCGTTGTATTCCTGCCTTGACAGTTTCCTATGGCAGAACTGGATACCCCCTCCTGACAGGGACTGCGGAGAGCGGACACCAGTGCAAGGCTCCGCCTCGCCTCTCCCATAGCATGCAGCTTCCCTGGCTTTCAGGAGGTGACTGGGCCTTTATGTCATTGCTTTTCCCTGCATACCTGCTCTGACATCTCAGCTTTCTATTGTAGAGCATGCTTTTGTAAATATTGCTTAACTATTTTAGATGCAATTCTTAAGGAAAAACTGTGAAGTTTACTTTAGTGTTAGAGATAAGTAGTTTCTACATTGTGCCAGTTAGCAAATAAGAGTTGTAATTGTTACATGTGCAGTACTGTTTCTGCATCAACTTTCTCCCATTTTTATCTTTTCTATGCAAAGTTTTAAAACACTGTAAATATAAAACTTACATGGTACCAAAAATATATACAGAAGAAAGTAAGTCATTCCCTCGTCACAATCCACTGATGAAACTCTTAATGTTTTAGTATATTTTCTTTAAATCCTTTTTTCCCTCACCTGTGCATATAGATTTTCCACCACAGTTGGTTATTTGACTCTTAATGACACTGGGGGTTGAACATAAGAGCCTTCTACTACTGAACTGTAGTCCCACCCTTTTTAAAAAACATTTTATTTTGAGGCAGAGTTTTGCTGAATTGCCCGGGCTGGTCTTGACTTTATGATTTTTCTGCCTCAGCTGCCCTAGTAGCTGGGATGATAGGCACATGCCTCTGTGTTGGCATTTACCCGCTTCTTACTTTTTGTCTTTTTGAGTGAGGGTTTTGCTATGCAGTTCAGACTGGATTTGAACTCACTTTGCAGCCCCGGCTGGGCTGGCACTCATAGTGATCTTTCTGCCTCAGCCTCCAGAGTGCTGGGATTAAGGCATGTGCCGCCATGCCACGCCTACCTCCTTCTTAATATTGTGAGGATTTTCCACAATCGTTACAAATATTTGACCATTGAAAACTTTGCATCATCTATAATGTTTATAGCATAACTTAGTCATCCTCCATTGTTGACTTAACACATTTTCCAAATTTTTAGTTATCGTGCCATGGTAAACTAATTTTTTTCTGATGATACCCTATGGCAGAGTCCTATTAGAATTGCTTTGTCAAAGGGTAGGACTTTTGATACTTAATAACAGATTTGGAGATTTAGCTCAGTGGCATAAGCGCCTGCCTGGCAAGTGCAAGCTCATGATTTCAATCCCCAGTGCCAAAAAAGAAAAAGAAAAACAGATTTTTTAGGAAGTTTGTTTATTTATTTATGTTTAATGCAAGATACAATAAAATATGGCCTATAATTTTGACACTCACGAAGCTGAGGCAAAAAGATCATGAGTTCAAAGCCAACCTGGGCTACCTACCAAGTTCACAGCCAATCCAGCCTTGCTGGATTGTACAGCAAGACCCTGTCTCAAAAACACAAAGCAAGTGGCTGGGGTTATAGCTCAGCAGCATAAGTGCCTGCCTGGCAAGCAGAAGGCTGTGAGTTCAATCCCTGGTACAAAAAAAAAAAAAAAAAGGAAGAAAAGCAAACAGAAAAACTTTTTTTTTTTTTTTTTTTTTTTTTGTCTTTTTAAGAAAGGGTGTCTCTGCAGTTCAGGCTGGCGTTGGCCTTGAGCTCACTTTATAATCCAACAAGTCTCAAACTTGCAATGATGCCCCTGCCTCAGCCTCCTGAGTACTGGGATTACAGACATGTGCCACCATGCCAAGCTAGAAATACTCATTAAAAAATCATTTTACACTGGGAATGGTGGTGCACCCCTGTAATCCCAACACTCCAAGAGTCAGGCAGGAGATTCACTGCAAGTTTGAGGCCAGCCAGGGCTACAAAGTGAGTTCAAGGCCAGCCTGAACTGCATAAAAGGACCTTGTCTCAATAAAACAAAACAATTAAAAACAAAATCATTTTACATTTTCAGTATTATGAGAAGTGCTTGTGTTTTCTTTATAAATGAATTGCCATGAAAACAATTTTTTCAGGACTGGGGATGTAGCTCAGTGGTAGAGTGCTTGCCTAGCATGCACAAGGCCCTGAGTTCAAGCCCCAGTACCACACACAAAACAACAACAAAAACCAAAATGTCTTTTTCTCTCCCCCTTTCCTGAGAGGGGTTGCCAGGGCTTTAGCCCAGTGCCATTTATGTGTTCCTCTACTATACTTTCTGCTTTAAATGTGAACTCTGGGGGACATTCTCAGATTCAGACAGTTGGCTGCAGGAAGGAATGGCTTTTTTTTTTTGAGACAGGGTCTCCCTGCATAGTCCAAGCTGGCCTCAAAATTGCAGCAATCCCCCTGCCTCAACCTCCCAGCTGCTGGGATTACAGGCATGTGCCACTACCCCCGTTTAATTTTTTTTTAAATCAAGAAAACTTCTCAAGGTCAGGGAGTTCCGGTTCTGCTGAGTCCCCAGACTAAACGACTAAGGGCACGAGTGTTCTGGGAGCAGTTTGTTAACATCTGACATCTGTATGAGAGCTGGCTTTTTATCGTGCTGCTACCTGTGCCCGAAATGTTGCTCATAGGACATTTCCTAGCTCATAGTCGGCTTCATAAATCCTGTGGGATATTTCTGTCAAATTAATTTTCTCTTTCCAGAATCGTTGCTACATGGTCCGTGTAAGTTGCTAGAGATGTTTTCCTGGCTGGTGGTGCTGGGAGTGAAACCCGGGGCCTGTGCCGCTGAGTTGCACCACAGCTGCCCTTGTTCTTTCCTGTATGGAGGAGGATTTCAGCGGTGGTTAAGCAGCAGTTTGAATTGTGTTATGTGTCTTTATTCCTCATCCTCCTCAGTACTGGGGAGGGAATCCAGGGAGCACTGACCTGGAATTTGTTAATTCTCCTGCCTCAGCCTCCTGGGTTAGTTGGGATTATAGGCATGCCCAGGGAGTCGTTTTTGAAATTGTCAGTTGGTGGGGCTTCAAGATCTGTGTAATAAAACTATGTGAATGATAGCATTTTCTTGTACTATGGTTAAGGTGGTGAGCTGTGGGGCTTGAGTGCAATGCAGCATCATGGTAGAATGCGTGCGTCCCATCTTAATAGGTAATACTGATTTAGTATCATCTTGTTTTGAAGTCTCATCTAGCTTTTGTCCTTCTGTCTCCAATGGTCTAAATAGGCTGTATCTTATTGGATTTTATTATGTACGATAGTATAAGCAAAAACCTTTTAAAGACAAGGAGATTATACAGAAACCATTGTTCATTTTCTGTTAGTCGATTCTAAATACTCTGTAATGCTGTCATTCTCTTAAATGGTTTTACATTGTTTTGATATACTTAATGCTACAGTATACGAAGTTGTACTCAAGGATTTCAAAGAAAGAGACAATATGGTAACTACTTTTAGGTTAGGATTATCTGGTGGTGAAACACTATTCTGCTTAAATGGTTATGTTTTGATCTGCGCTGTTTCGTTGTTATGCCCTCTTTTATCTCAATCTCCACTCCATCATTTACTTTTTTATCTTTATCCTTTTAATTAAGGGAAAAAATAGCAGGATATATTATAGTAACCCACTATGACTTTTCATTACCTTGATTTAAAGCCCTGTGTTACTCTCACCATCTGGTTTTTAACTGATGTTCCCCTATTCTGTTTTGCTGGATAGTATCAGGTTCAAAAGTTTAGGCATCAGCTGTGAAGATAATGAGATTCATTATGACGCCCATTCTTGTTGACTTTTATCTACTTTTGAAGACCTACAATGTCTCCAATGTTTTGGTTTTGTCGGTTTTATTCTTTACTGTTTTGTTCAATTGTATTATAACTAACGATATAGGCAATTCTATTAGAGATAGCGGGAGGCATTATGGTAACCATTGTTGATCACCTTGTATTATGTTTTTACATTATCTATTATGTCCACCCTTTTGACTTGACCGATTCTGTTCTGTTATGTCACATTTGGTTTTGCTCTCTTCCAAAAAAGTAATAAGAACCGTGGGAGCAATGAAACCCAAAATGTGTAATAGTCATGGTACAAAAGAGAGGAAAAGAAAGTGCTCCAAACTATATAACTGCATGTATATTTAAGTGTATAAGATAGAAAATGATATCACAGAGTTTTATTGGATCAATGAACAGAACTGTTTGCAGTATCATTGATGGAATGTCCACTTTACAAGCTTTAATTTTGTGACTTGAACAATTATTTCTAAGATGACAATATGTAATCCATTAACTAGTGATTTTCTACTGTTCATTTTTTTCTGTAAATCTGTATAACTTGTACCCTTTCCCTGCTTTTTTTTTCTTTTCTCCTTAAATAAAATTAAAAAAAAAAAAAAGAATGCGTGCGTCCCAAGTGAGAGCCCTGGGTTCCATCCCCAGCACCAAAAAAACGTGGACTGGGAGAGAGACAAAATCTGCAAGATGAGGAGGGAAACGGGTGAAGAATTGCAGGCACAAAGACATAGATTCACGAAATGCATGTGAAGATATGTGTTGTTTACACAAGCATGATGTGCCCCAGTTCAGCGAGCCCATAGTTTGTGTTTACCTAAAGTCCAGGGTTGGTTTGTTTTTGGTGGTGATAGTACTAGAAAACAAACCAGGGCCTTGTCACTGTGCTACATCTCAATCTGAGCTCTTTTTTACTATTTTGAAACCTGATCTTGCTAAATTACCCAGTTTGTGTTCAAATTTGTGGGTCCTCCTGCCTCAGTCTCCCGGAGTGCTGGGATTACAGGTTCACGTGTACTACCTGCCCTGCCTAGAGTCTTAGATTTGACTGCATTGTTGTGGCCCATTAATTAAACCTGCCAATTCATAATGGGTTTAATACCAATCTTACAGAATGAAAATTTTATAACACACTTTATAAGAATATAAAGCCCCCAGCTGGGCATGTGGTACACGCCTGTAATCCCAACTGTTCAGGAGGCAGAAGCAGGAAATTGCAATTTGAAAGCCAGCCTTTGGAAATTAGACTTTACCTCAAAAAGCAAATAGAAAACCAAGCATGAAGACATATGCCCGTAATCCCAGCACTCTGGGAAGTTGAGGCAGGAGGATCACAAGTTGAGCCTACTTTGGATAACTAATACTGTATCTCAGAAACTTTAAAAAGGCTTGTAGCTATAGCTCAGAGTAAAGGCTGTAGTCTCTAGGACTGCAGAAAAACAAAACAAATAGAGGCTGAAGATTTGGGGACTGAAACTGAGCATGAAGGCCCTTGGTTCAATTCTCAATACTGGAAATACATATATTCCAAGCCTTAGAAGGAAAAATCTATGTATGTGACCACTGTAACTGTGAGTAGAAAGAGTTCTCTGTGCTTTTCTAAAACTAACATGGGAAATACAAATTCATAATACTCCCCTAAGTAGCTAGCTATACGTATATAATTTTTCTCCTCGTTACCCAGATTTCTAATGATGCATTTTCATATATTTACTAACAATGGCCTAGTGGGAAAAGTTAACGTTTTGACAGAGGGTTGTAATCTGAGTAACTGATATTTTTATTTGTAGGTTACATGTCTTGCATGTGACAGCAAATCAAATACCATAGAATCTTTCTGGGACTTGTCATTGGAATTTCCAGAAAGATACCAGTGCAGTGGAAAAGATGCTACCTCACAGCCATGTTTGGTTACTGAAATGTTGGCCAAGTTCACAGAAACTGAAGCTTTAGAAGGAAAAATCTACGTATGTGACCGCTGTAACTGTGAGTAGAGAGTTCTCTGTGCTTTTCTAAGACTAACACAAGAAATATAAATTTAGTGTACTTCCCTAAGTAGCTATTATGAAAATAACTTTAGTTCACCAAAAGAAATCAGACTAGACATTTCTATTTTACACTTGGCATTAATGAGCTGAGTTTTTGTTGTTGTTATTGTTTGCTTTGTTGAGCCTTATTGATGACATTCAGAATTTATATATGAATAATCTCAAGCTGCTGGGTCAGTTGAGGTCTGAGTTAAGTCCGCAGCTCCTTTGGTTTCCTGTACCCCTAACTCCTGCCCACACTCTCGCACACTGCAGCCAAGCGCAGGAGGTTCTCCGCCAAGCCAGCAGCACTCTCGGAAGCCCAGAAGCAGCTCCTCATCTGCCGCCTGCCAAAGGTTCTCAGGCTGCACCTCAAGCGCTTCAGGTGGGTACCGCAGAGCCGGGTGCCCTGTGCCCTTCCGCCTGGGCAGCCTTACGCTTTCTGCTGCTCCGAGCATGGGGGACAGTGATAAGCTATGCATTAGTGCTCCTAGAGGACTCATCCTTCTGTTTCTGAAGGAAAACCTTCTAGCAGTTGTCTTTGGCCATGAGCAGCAAGCCGGTCCCTATTCAGTATTCAGGCCCTCGTGGAATGCATTGCAGGCCAGCGGATCTCTCCTGTTGCCATCTGCTGGACGTCCACATTCTGCTTTCGATGTGTAACGCTCAGCATATTGAAGACAAGTTTCTAAATTTATGCTTTTAGAGTAGCTAACACAGTTACCTTGTGTTGGAAAATACTTGGTTAAAGGTACTTCAGTTCAAAGCAGTTCAGGAAAAGTCAGAAGCCAGGTGTGGGTGCACACATCTGGGATGCCAGCTAGTTGGGAAACTGAGGCAGGAGCATGACAGTTCCAAGGCCAGCCTAAAAGGGCTGGGAATACTGTCGGCACTCTTGTGCCCAGTCTCCGGCAGTCTCTGGACACCAGCGAAATGCAGCAAAACTTTGTCCAAGCCATAACGCACATCATGTGGGGTCCCGCAGCCTGTGTAGTCCTTTTTACCAGCAGAAACCTCCCAAGCCTGGCCTTTACCTGCAGGATTTCGATCAGCCTTCCCGTCTCCTGACTCTGACCAGAATCTCGCACGCAGAACGGGCTGGGGTGTTTCAGCTCCACTCTTTCGGATGACATCTCTGAATCTTTCCAGACTTCTCACAGGCCATTCCCAGGGGCTCCTGAACCACACTGTCAGGTCCAGTCATAGCAATGACTGCACTCCACTGGTAGCAGATTCTGTTTTGGTTACTCTTCTCTCATTACTGAGACAAAATACCTGACGCTCAAAATGGAGGGAAGGAAGGCTTGGTTTTTAGAGGTTTCGGTCCATACTCAGCTGGTGCAAGCACTGCCTGCCAGGAAGACACTTATACCACTGAGCTAGATCCACCCCCTTTTGTTTGTTTATCTTGTATGGAAATCGAACTCATGACCTGGAATTTACCAGGTAAATGCTTGAGCCACTGAGCTAAATCCCCAGCCCTGTTTATTTATTCTCTTTGCTGCTGTACAGCCACGCCGCTCTCCCAGTGCCCCATTGTACAGACACCATGGAGTCCACACCGGCTGGCAGTGTCCGCACAGCCTTCAGCCTCTGTTCCCTTCCCAGAGGTTTGCAGGTGGAAACTCGGCCTGTGCCCCCTCTCTGTAGCTGCCTCGGGGCTGGCAGCCGTGGTAGCTCAAGCAATACACAGCAAGAACACTGGTCACCCAGTGGTACCCTGATGTTCTTGTTTATTGGTGTGGATGCTTTTTGATAGAGTTATTTCCAAAAGATGAAAAATATTAACAAAAGATGAGAAATATAAAATAAAAAGCGGCCTTTATTCTGAGAATACGGAGAGAGATGACCGGCACCCCACCGCTGGCGTCCGGTGATCTCTCCAGCGGACACGTGGCATGGGGGCCTGTAAATAGCCTCGGTTTGGGGTGGAACCTAAGGCGGGCATTAGGGATACACAGGTAGCCCATTGGTCCTAGGTTTGGCGCCATATGTAAATTCCCAGGGGCGGGAAGATGGCGTCACAGGTAACTTCCTAGGGGCAGGGCAAGATGGGGCTTCCTGCTTCCGGTTGTGGCTTTCCTGGCTACAGAGTCCTGTCTGGGCCAAAACCTTTCATATCCCGTCTTATGATTATTATTATGAAAAGGGGCGAAGATTTCTCTCTTTAACTACTTCCTGCTGGCAAAGGGCGCTGTACTGGAGCCTAGGGGAGTCGACGGGATGAAGGTTGATGCCCAGGTAGACGCTGCTGCCAGGCGTTTTAGCCAGGACAACTTCACTGGTGAATGCACGTATGTCAGACTGGAAAAACAGAGACAAAATGTTATGAGGAGACATGGCACTGTCATATTTAAGGACCCAGGTGAGGTAGAAGGAAAGGTGCCTTTGATTTAGACATGTTCCACGGTAAGGCAGAATTCTGAAAATTAAACGTGGGGTTAGGAGGAGTGGAGTTATGAGAGGTGATTACTCCCCCATCTGAAAGCATAAAAGTTAAGACGGTAGGTTGGTGAGGCTTGTCTCTGGTATGCATGATGTTGGAGTCTGTAGGCAATACTGTTAAAGAGTCCTGCTGTAAAAATGATCATTAATAGAATGTAAGGAATTAGGAACCAAAGTGGATAACAAAACATGACTTAGCCTGTTAACTGTGGCTGCGAAGGGCTGGAAGGGCACCTTTTAGCCTGAGTGATGTGAAACCAGGATGGCAGTCTAGCAACTTTGATTTAGGCATGGGTCACTGTAACCTGGTTGTAGTCCTTGGAATGATTTGCTGTAACAGAACTTTAGCAAGTATGAGAAAGGCTTTTATGTATCCTGAAAAAGTATAAACCAAGTGAGAAGACAAAAATGTATCTGTCAGTCTTGACCAGGGTACCTGAGAAATTGGTGAATAAGAAAGGAAGGGGGTGGTCTATATCACTGAGGTCCACCAGTGACAACAGGTGGAAGCTGTTGAGGCCTCAGTGTCTAAGTCAGCCTGTATAAAAGGCATTTTAAGAGTTAGGACTGGGACCTGCACAAAATAGGCCCTGTTTGTAAATGGCATAGGTTTACCATCAATACCATGTCATAGAGATTGATTTAATATAGCAACCTGAATACTCAGGAAGAACTCTGTATATATGGCCTCTATGTCCACAAATATAGAGAATGTCTTACCTGAGACTTTAGTGCGACTTGGAATCCGAGACGGACACCCACAAAGGGGGCTGTTGTTGCCCTGAACTTCCTCAGTCTTCAGCAGCGATTTTCTGTCAGTGACGAATCTGGCAGTGTCGACATTTCCTGTGAGGGCTAGGATGACTTACCCACTCTCTGGTGGCTAGGACAGTCCAGTAGTCCTGGAGTAAGGTCTCAAAGAATGCCAGGATGGGGCATTTTCTTGCCCAGTATCTTCTGCTGCATTTGAGCGTGGTCCATGGAGGGGGCAGGCAGCTCCACCTTGTGTAGGTTTACCTGTCTCAGAACTCCAAGTGTCACAAGTGTTAAAATTATGAAAAACCATATTAAGATCTCTATAAGGTTTGAAGGTCAAGTTTTGCCTTTTTGTTTGGGATTTGAACTACAGTAGAATTAAGTAAGTATGCAGGAATTTAATATTGACATTTTGGATTAGAGAGCAGGCTTTATCTGGATGGCATACCGCTTTTCTTATAGGGTGACACGTAGAATTAACAAAAAAGCTTTAGTCTGCCAAACAAGGCTTTAATGGAAACATTTTGCAGTAAAGGTTTAGCAATCTTATGAATGAATCTATCAAAACTGATCTAATACTGTGAAATTCTGAACACATTTACTTTTAAAGTTGTTATTTGCAGTAGTATGAACCAAGACAAATAAAATAAAACTTTAAGAAAACCCTTGTCTTGAAATACAGCTAGTGGTTCCCAGCAAAAAGGAATTTATTACCTTAGTTGTTAAACAGGAGATTGGTGAAGGCTTTGATTGATAAACAAAGCTGGTAAAATTATCAGGTGGCCAATAACCTTGATTAAATGGTTTGAGAATTGTAATAAAAAAGCATCTTTTGAGCGGAGCCAAATTGTAAAAAAAGCATGCCTGAGCAGAGCCACTGAGCTGCTGTTTTGCGGCGCTCCGGCAGAGCACGCCCAGTGGGTGGGGCAAGCGCTGGGATGTAGCGTGCAGGGGCGGGCTCGGACTGCCCCCGGAAACGTGTAAGGTGGCAGCGGCGACAAGGACGGCGCACAGGGGAGGGAGGGGCTGGGAGGCAGCCCGACACAGTGCGCAAAGCTGGAACTGCTGGAAGGGCACGAGGACTAGAAAGCCAATTTAGGAACACAGCTGGGTTTTGATTAGCCTCCTGGACCTGTTTTAAAAGTTTGTTATAGTTAGTATGCTTGTCCTGCTCTGGCACAGCTATAGGCCTAGAGTCATTACCAGTGGTGTTTACCTCATGTCTGTGATCAGCTTTTTCTCGAACTGCTTGCCACAGCTGATTCCATTCTTGTGAGATGAGAGTGGTATTTAGAATCCCATAAACATCCTTAAAATGTAAATCATAACAATTAGTAATGAATTCAAATTGCCTGATATAGTTCTGTGGGTCAACAGAGAGGCTACCTAATTTAAGGGTAATCTGAGATAGATCAGAAAGGGAAAAAGGCACATGGATGTTAACAAGTCCCTTGGAGCCAGCTTGCTCCCAAAGAGGTAGCAGAGCCTGAGGAGATTCTGGAGCAGAGGGCCACTGAGCAGCCATCCTTCCAGTAGGCGCATGTGAGCAATCATCTGTAGAACGGCTACAGAGCTGCTGCCGGTCACCCTGGGAAACATGAGCAGATGGCGTCTCACTGTGTGCCTTGCAGTGAGAGGACTGCTGTCGGCAGCACAATGAAGCATCATGTGCACTGCAACAGGGCGGCTGTTGTAGTTCACAAGAGGAGCCACAAGGGGACGCCTGTTGACAGTGAGGGTCCTGGAAACATGGTGGCGCCCTGTCACATGACCCAAAACATGGCGGCGCCTGGGAACATGGCGGCGCCCTGTCACGTGGCCCGAAACATGGCGGCGCCCTGTCGCCATGTGGCCCTCCTGAACATGGCGGCGCCATGCCACGTGGCAGAGGGTTGCAACATGGCGACTGTTCCCCGCGCAAGCTGGAACAATCACGCGACCTGCTGGAAGGACATAGTGACCGAGACCTAGTATGGTGGGCGGGCGGTGAGAATGCTGTAGGGGATACAGAATTCTCAGGAGAAGTCGGAGACTGAGAGGAAGCACTAACAGAGGGATCAGAGCCGCTGGGAGAGATATGGGTCCCTGGAGACGGAGAGAGAGAGGATCGAACATCGGGAGATAACTGCAACACAGAGGGATTAGAGCTGCTGGGAGAGTTATGGGTCCTGGAAGGCAGGGAGGGAGACGATCGCACAGCGGGAGGTATCTGCGACGGAGAGGGATTAGAGCTGCTGAGAGAATCAGGCATAGGGGGAGGGGAGAGCAGTCCGGCTGGAGGTATTGGCAGGGAACGAATTTGGTGGTAGGCAGGCGGTGGCCGGGAAAACAACGGAGGAAAAGTTTGCGGCGCAGTAGACTTAGCTAAAAGTATCTCAGCGGGAGCACAAGACTTAATGAGAGATGGGCGTGTTCTCAGAATAAAAAAGGCTTGGACATAAGGGAGTTCTAATAACTTGTTGCCAGCTTGACAAAAATCGTACAAGTTCCTGAGAATGCAGGGGTCAAATGTTCCTTTTTTGGGCCAAGGCTTGCCGATAAGCGGGTAGGTTGGCCAGACCTCCTGGCAGTAAAAAGTTAGTTGTTTAGTTTTTATGGTACCTTTAATTTTTAGAGTACGTAAACTGGAAATTAGGCATTGTAAAGGCGTCTTTTGGGAGTTAGAAAATACGTTCCCCATGACTGATTCAGGCAAGAAAAAAACCGGAGGTCCAGAACAAGTCGTCACTCGTTTGTGGTACCACGCGGCGGCTACGGTTCCAAAAACTCGTAAACTCCAGTCGTCACTGAGAGATTTACGAATGGAGTCTACGTGGGGTCAGTAACAGTTTTGCCCGTGAAAGCGCAAGGCTTTAAGGGAAGTGAGGTGTTCTTTCAGTGTGGGCGGTCCCAAAAATCTCTGCTTTGGGCTATCCGAACCCAAAGAACATGAGAGATTTTGTGGGCGCAGGTTTGCCCAGAAAGAACCCTGCCCTGGGCAGTCCTAAGGACGTGAAAATGCACAGACCCACGCAGACGGGGAGAACATTCCACTGGGGCTGCCCAGTGCGAAAAGTTCCCCGGGGAGTGCTCATCTGAAATCAGTCTGGCCGATGCGGAGTGCAGGCGGCTGGCGACAGGAACATCACAGGAGAGGAAAAAGCTCGGGATTAATCCAGGATGTTATCTGGTTATCGGCTAAGAGACTCTGGGTATGTGGCCCAAGAGTCAGTTGCCTGCCGATCGAGTCACGGCACCAAATGATAGAGTTATTTCCAAAAGATGAAAAATATTAACAAAAGATGAGAAATATAAAATAAAAAGCGGCCTTTATTCTGAGAACACGGAGAGAGATGACCGGCACCCCCACCGCTGGCGTCCGGTGATCTCTCCGGTGGACACGTGGCGTGGGGACCTGTAAATAGCCTCGGTTTGGGGTGGAACCTAAGGTGGGCATTAGGGATACACAGGTAGCCCATTGGTCCTAGGTTTGGCGCCATATGTAAATTCCCAGGGGCGGGAAGATGGCGTCACAGGTAACTTCCTAGGGGCAGGGCAAGATGGGGCTTCCTGCTTCCGGTTGTGGCTTTCCTGGCTGCAGAGTCCTGTCTGGGCCAAAACCTTTCACTTTTCACCCTGCACACCTGACCAAGAGAGATACAAATCATACCTCCCACCAGGGATTCCTTTCTGTGGGAAGGAAGTAAAAGCTCTCGGGAGCCTGTCTTTTCCTGGTAGAAGGAGAAAATGCCCTTCGTGCTCAAACTTTCCCAAAGTCTTTTCTCCTATTTTATCACTGCAGAAGTCAAATTATTTTAAAATCTAACTGGAGCCAGATGTGGTGGCGCACTTCTGTGATCCCAGCACTTGGGAGGCTGAGGCAGGATGATCATTGCAAGTTCAAGACCAAACTGGGCTATAAAGTGAGCTTAAGTCTAGCCTGAACTACACAGTGAGACCCTGTCTCAAAAGAAAAAAGAAAGACCAAACAAAATAAAATAGTCTGACTGGACCTATTTGGGAAATAAAGTCAGTCTTTCCATTTACAGCCAACTATGTCTCTGAGAGGCATGGAATTTGGTTTTCAGGTTGTATGTGTGTGTGTGTTTTAACAAATGTGTGTCTTATGTATTTCACTGAGTATGCTGTCAAGTTGCATACATTTACCTATAAAAGTCTCCAGTTTATCCTTTATGGCTGAGTAGTACTCCATTGGATAGAAATACCATGGTTTTTTTTTTTTACCTATTCCTCAGTTGATGGGCATTTAGATTGTTTTCAAGATCTGGCTATTACAAATTGTGCTGCTATAAACATGGGTGCATATATATCACTGTGGTATGATGCTTTCAGTTTTGGGAATACGCCCGGAAGTGGAATAGCTGGGTCAAAGGCAACTTCCAATCCCAGCTTTTTGAGGAGTCTCCAGACTGACCTCCACAGTGATTACACCAGTCTGCACTCCCATCAACAGTGCAGGAGAGTTCCTTTCTGCTCACAACCTCTCTAGCATTTGTTAATTTCTTGATAGTAGCCATTCTTACTGGAGTGATGTGGAATCTGTGTTGTTTTAATTTGCATCTCTCAAATCACTGATGTTGAACATTTTTTTCCCACATATGCTGCTTGTGTTTCTTCATGTAAGACATGTGTATCCATCTCTGATGCCCATTTTTGAACTGGTTCTTTAAGTCTGTATGGATTGATTTTTTTCTGTTGTTGTTTTTTGTTTTTTGGTACCAGGGATCAAACTCACGACCTCACGCTTGCCAGGCAGATACTTAGGTTGTTGAGCTAAAGCCCCAACCCCATTGAGTTCTTTATATGTTCTTGAAAGTAATCCTTTGAGGAACAGCTGGCAAACATTCTCGCACATTGTGGCTTGTCTCTTCACTCTGTTGGTGGTTTGTCTTGCCATGCAAAAGCTTTTCAGTAGGTGAGATCCCAGTTCTTGAATATTTGTGATATTTCCTGTGCAGTCAGGGGTTTGTTCATAAAGTCTTTGCCTCATCAATGTCTTCAAGAGTTTTACCTATTCTATCTTAGAGCAGATTTAATGTTTTTGTTTTAGTATTTAGATATTTGATCCATTCTGATTTTAGCTTGGTACATGGGGAAAGACAATGGTCCAGTTTTAATCTTCACCATGTGTAGAGCCAGCTTTTCCAGCACTATTTATTGAAGAGGCTATTTTTCTTCCAGTGAATGTGTTTGGCATCTTTGTAAAAATTAAGGTGGCTTAGTGTGTCTGGAGCTGTTTCTACATTTTCTAATCTGCTCTATTGATCTTCAGGTCTGTGTTTTGCCAGAACCACACTGTTTTTATCACAGCTTTATAGTGTAATTTCAATTCAGATATTGTGAGGGGCATGCAGTTGACACAGGGTCTAGCTATGTGGCTCAGAGTGGCCTTGGACTATGTAGTCTAGGCTGGCATTGAACTCATGGCTGTCCTCCTGCCTCAGCCTCTCTTGAGTGATGGGACTGCAGGCATGTGCCACCGTCTTGGTTATAGTCAGCTGTCTTAAAAAAGATACTTTATGACGGCACTGGGGATTTTAGCTCAGTGGCATAAGCGCCTGCCTTGCAAGCAGGCAGTCATGAGTTCTATCCCCAGTACCGATAAAAGGGAAAAAAAAAAAAAAGATACTTTATGTGACATGAATGGGGTATAGGCTTCTTTGAATTTCCTCTTCTCCATTGGCATGACTCTTGTCTGGAGTACGGTCATTTTCTCTGATTGTGCTCTGGTTTCTTCTCAGGTGGTCAGGACGTAATAACCGAGAGAAGATCAGTATTCATGTTGGCTTTGAAGAGATCTTAAACATGGAGCCCTATTGCTGCGGGGAGACCCTGAAATCACTCCGACCCGAATGCTTTCTTTACGACTTGTCTGCCGTCGTGATGCACCACGGGAAAGGGTTCGGCTCAGGACACTACACGGCCTACTGCTATAATTCTGAAGGAGGTAGAAACAGGAAAATGTGATTTTCTCTTGGCTTAGTTTTAGAAGTTGGTGTTCAGGCTTTAATGATTTCTAAACTGCCTCTAAGTCATATTAAGCAAAGAATGCTTCTGAAATACTGTTGCTTAACAAAAGAGACATGAGGTTGTTCTTGAAAATTATACTCTACATGCTATAGGAAGTACTATAGTTTCTAAAGGTTTGTTGTTGTTTTTGTTAGTTAAGGGCTGTGAAGACAGGGTGATAAAGACAGTTTTGTTAAGGAAAAGTCAGCCTGCCTACAATCCTGGGACTTTAGGACGCTGTGGCAGAAGGAGCAGAAGGTTTAGCCCAATATAGGGAACTCAGTGAGGCCCCGAATCAGAGTAAAGTGCTAAGGTATAGCTCAGTGTGCAGACCCCTTTGTGCAATCCTCAGTACCACGAGAAAACCCCCAGGTTTTGTTAAAGGCATGCCTCAAAGCCTAGGTCCTTATGTTCATTGGTTTATTTCAGTCATTTGTTACCGAAGAGGGAATCTAATGAGCTGGGGGAGTCACGGTTGTTAGCACACAGGGGACGGGGACAGGTCCTCGCCTCCGACACCCGGTGCAGAAAGCCATCTCCCCTCTGAGCTCGCTTCTGTGGCCCCTCTAGGGTTCTGGGTGCACTGCAACGACTCCAAGCTGAGCGTGTGCACCTCGGCTGATGTGTGCAGGGCCCAGGCCTACATCCTGTTCTACACGCAGCGCGGGCCTGAGAGCGGTTACCTGGAGTGCCCGGCGGATGGCCAGCACCCGGGAGACCAGGACAGGGACGGCATGGACCCCCCTGCTAGTGACAGCTGCAGCTGACCCAGGACGCCAGTTTGCTTCTTGAAATGTGGAGACTTTTTTCTAAAGGGCTGAGTTGTAATTTGGTGCTTTTTTTACTTCAGAATCAGTGCGCACACTACATTTATATATTCTGTATCTAACAAAACTTTTACACAGAGATGAAGCATAAATATATGCTTCTCAGGTGCTAGGTTGAGACTGTTGACCTTAGGCTCATGTTACCTCTCATTGATGTCTTAACTGGCTTAGATCATGAATTTGTGCGATCTACTGAAATGCAGGGAAGCATTTTATACACATTTGTTGCTTATTTATCTTTTGTAGCTGCTTTCTATACAGATTGTAAAAAGATGGAAAATTGGATAGTTTCCTCACAAATAAGTCTCAACTAAAAAAGAACATTTCTTGCAGGGCATTTGTGTCCTGACGTCACCTTGCCCTGGGAAGGGAGCTGAGCTGAAGCACTGCAGGTGACTCAGCCTCACCAGCTGTCATACCTGGTGATGTGCCCAAGGTTCTGCACAGTTGGGGCTCAGAAGAGATTGATTTGGCTAATGGAATTTGATTTAAAATTGTAAGAGTTGTTGGAGGCTGAGGCAGGAGGATCGCTGTGAGTTCAAGGCCAGTCTGGGCTACACAGTGAGATCTATCTCAAAAAAGCACACCAAAAAATTTTTAACAGTTCTTTATTTAACATAGTCAAACTATATTTAAATGAAAATGGCAAATTTACAAATGTATATTAAGTAAATTTTTATAACTGTGGATATGAAAAGGGAAGAATGGCTGGTACTTACTTGAATTTACCAAACCTGTATATTACGTTTCACATTGTTTATCTTTTTCATTCTGTATTTGATAACATTGTACCTCTTAAAGCTTTATATAGCTCGAGATTGTTAGTTCAAGGGAATAAAAGTCTTGAAGAGAAAACTAGAGGCCAGAGAAGGTAACTATTCAAGATTAGCAACTGGCCTACATGTGTGGCATCTCATTTTTCTGAATAGCAAAGCCTGGATATTTTACTCTTGCTAGGATTATGTTAAGTATTGGGAAACTCTGAGGTATCCTGGGATGCCAGCCTTCTTAAAAATACAGTGAAAACTATCTAAATTTGTGTTAAGAGCATGGTGTGAGCCTGGCACGGTAGTAGTGCACGCCCATAGTCCTGGCAGTTGGGAGGCTGAGGCAGGACTGCTGAGTTCAAGTCAGCCTGAGCTGTAATGTGAGTTCAGGGCATCTCCACTTCAGTGAGACCCTGTCTCAAAAAAAAGAATAGTGTGACATGCTTCTTCTCTTCTTCCCTAATAACCACAGTACTTCCTTGAAGTCCTGCTGATTTAAAAGGAGAGGGTCTGCTCACCTCTGTAGATCAGTAACAGATCATATGCCATTGGCAGTTACTAGAAGATCATTTGCCCCTTTTCTCTAAGATAAATTTATTTGCAGCTTGAAATCTAATGAAAAGTAATATCCTGTGACTATCTGCCATTAGAAGTTACTTGTAAGTATAAACCTTAAAAGCAACCTGTATTAGCACATTTCTTAGTTTCAGGAAACAAATCACCTGGAGCAGCTGATTTAAGCATAAATGAGAATTTAGCATCAAACAGCTTGTGCCAGAAAATAGCTGGGTATTAAACGCCAAGGATTAGAGCTGCTGGCTGCCTGAACATCTGTGCAGGCTGTTTCCTCCACTCTCACAGTCAAGCCTCATTAAGACTCAGGTGCCCAGCCTTTCCTTGTCAGGAATATAGGCCGTATATCCCAGGCTGCCCTCCAACCCAGGGTTCCCAGGACAATTTTTCAAATACGGAATAATTTAGCACCTAATTTTAATCAGATTTTAAAAGAAAAAACTTGAAGCTGTGTCTGTAATGGCATAACTGCTTGTATTTATTTTGGTCTGAAATACACTAAAAGCTATGGGGGAGAGGGAGGTGTTGGGGTGGCCACGGTACATAGGAATTGTGTTTCCACTGAATTAGACATGTAAACCTAAATGACTCACAGAACTTAGATTTCTCACTAAATATCCCCAGTTTCCACATGGACCTCTACATTCTGCTGTGTTGATCTAACAAAAAACAACATGTTCTGGTTGTAAAATAATTTACTAAAGGCACTGCTGTTAAACATCAGACTGGTAGCTTGTTGGCAATAAGTACATCATCATAAACAGAGCAGGTTTCCGAGATACACGGCTGCAGGCAGATTTCCCCCAGCTGAGCACTTTCTATATACAAATCCTCTCCCTTCCAACCACTGCCCCAGCACTGCCCCCAGCACTTCTCTGAGAAAGGAGATTGTTGTTGACTGCTACCCAGAATGCTGGGAAAGCTCCAAATCTTCATTCAGGGCTCTTTTAAATCCTGGCTTAGAAAACAGTACAGCCAGGCGTGAACCTCACGAGCTCTGCCATTTGTATGGCATCACAGAAAATGGACAACTATCCCAAGGGAGCTGCTGGACATGAGCACCATAGTAAACAGCTCAGACAGCTAAAACCTAGATGGTTTCCCAGAACAGAAGGTAACATTCACTTACAGCTCGAAGGCAGAAAGAGCAGCTTTTGAACGGAACAAAGGATTTAGGTACATTAAGTCAGAGGTTTCTCTTAAGAACATTAATACAGAACTAAAAAACAGCATCCCAGAGCAATAAAAACCTCATTGTGCTAAAGCATACACAAAGGCTTTCACCTTGGCACGTGACAGTTCTGAAATTATGTTGGAACATTCCTGACATCACATATTCAAGCAATAGAAGACTCGGTAGTGGGGCTGAATGCAGCAGAGGAGCCAGCGCCGACGCCTCACGTCCACCCGGGGAGCCACGCGAGCCCAGACTGCCCGAGATGGAGCGTACCCAGGACTCCAGCTGGAAGGCCCTGCATCTTCAGTCTGACTCTTAAGCAGAACAAGCTTGAAATGTTCTCCTTGCTTTTGTGGCTTTAAAAAAAGCTCTTTTGGTGTTTTGAGGAAGATGAATACATTTCTTAACAAGTACTACCATTGAGCAAAGGATCAAAATGTTTAAGGTTTTTCAAGTGTCCACGATGTTCCCACTAAATCATGTTTCAGTTAAATTTTTCTAATGTCAGGACAAAAGTGAAAGACAGGTACCAGTGAGGGTCTCAAAGAAAATCAAAGTATCCCTAAAGCTTTGCATCATTTTTAAAGAAAAGGTGATTGTCCCACTTACGCACAGGAAGGTCTTGTTTTTAGCCACTACACCAGAAGAATGGGTCTGTGTAAGACACCTACAGTCCACAGAGAAGCCTAACTGGATAGCTACTTCCTGCTCACAATTATAACCACAGACATTAAAATGTAGCTCTCAGATCTGAAAATGTCTTTATTTTTTAGAAAATGGATTCCAGGAAGGTTAAAAAGCAATACCAGAGGGCATAGGTGCAGAAATGGATGTAGTCATTCAAAGCATTCAAGTAAGAATATGGCCATATAAATACCCAAAAAGCATGACTTGGTTGTTCCAAACAAAATGTGTAAGTCATTCCTAACTAATCTGAGCCGTATAACATGTCTTAGACAGGGAGGAAACAGTTAACATTTGAAAGTCCTGAAAGCTTTTTTCCTTGGTTAATTACATTAGATGGTTTGCCTTGGATCAAAATCAAATTCTTTTAAACATGGATAAAGTATTACACAGGTCCACTGTTAAAACAGACAACATGTTGCAAGTTAACTGTGGTATAACGTATTCCAACAAAGCTTAGAAAATAAAGACGTTGAGGTGGCTTTGGACTAAGTTTAATAGTCATCTCCTCTGCTGACAACTTCTTTACAAGTCGGACGCAGCAGTATGGTGTGTTCGAACTGCGCTGTGTAAGACCCTTTAATGTCACACAGTGGCGGGTACGGGTCTACGATGCCCAAGTCACACAGATTTTTCAGTGCCATCAAATATTTACTTTCTCCCAGGCGATCCAGCCATCTGCGGCAGAAGGCGAGAGTGCCAAAGTTTTCGTTGATGACGTTTAACAAGTGTTTCGCTCTTGGAAGCCTAGGGGGAGAAAGCGCACGTGTGAAAGCTTCTGTCACTCCTAGCGCAGCCCTAGCGCATCATGTCGCTGGCTTCAGCTTGCTCTTTGCTCCTTTTCTTTCAATACTAGGGTGGAGCCCAGGGGCCCTAGCAGGTGAGGCCAGCGCTCCCCAGTCACCTCACGGATGTGCCCACCCATCTGTTCCTATGTTAAATTCCCAGTCACGGGCTCATTTATAGCGAATTATGGAAGCTGCGTTTCGTGCATGAAGCTCAAAAACCACACCACACACAAGAAGACGTGCAAATCCAGCCTTTGGTGGTTATCTTATAGAAGAGGACTTCTAAAAAAAGGATGATGGGGCTAGGGACATAGCTCAGTGGCACAAGCTCACGCGTGGCAAGCACAACATCCGAGTTCAATTCGTGGTACAATAAAGATAACAGTATTAAGACCAAAAACCTAAGCATGCTGGCAAAATAATATTCACAAACACTTAGAATGTAGACTTGAAGAAAATAAATTGTCATCTCAAAGCACTACGCAGGCTACTAACTTTTCTGTGGTAATGGAAACCCACAATTTCCCACTGGCTACACAACTGTTTGCTAGTGAGCCCGGCCTGCGTTTGTGTTGGGTTTTTTAACTATTAACCGGGACGGACAAAAAGCAGCCTTCACTCACCTTATTGGCACGTGCCCAACATCAAAATTTTTCATGTAATGCGAACACTCCATGTCATCATGGACAACACCTTTCCCTGTGCTGCCAAAGGTCTCGATGGCGTACACTTCTCCTTCCTTCAGAAACACATGGCAGGAGAGTGGCATTCAGGACCCAGGACGCCCTGACCCCACCTGGCCTCCCTCCCTGAGTGGAGAGCTGAGCGGGTGCGCCCTACACACACGAGCCCCCACCAGCCACCCCGCCTCACCCTGAAAGCGAAGCCCGAGCCCAGCCGCACCACATACCTCCATCCTGGTGGCCTCCCCGCCCTTCACAATGGGCACTGTCTTCCCTGCGTGTATCCTGTACGGCCCAATTGAGTGTCCGTTGAGGTTTCGGATTGGCTTCACTGTGGCAACAAACAGGGAAAGATGTGTTACGCAGGCCTTCTAGAAGGACACACAGATCCCTGACTTTTCAGAGAATCCCAGCGTTTACTGCACAGCAAGACGCAGCTGTACTGCACCTCATCCTGCATCTTGCAGGAGAGGATGAAATAAAGAATCGTCTAGGGAGTCACTGAAAATACAGACTGGCCCGCAGGGACAGGAGAAGCCTGTCTGTGTGGCTATAGAACAAACCACATGAAAGGATGCTGGGTCACAAGGGGAGTTCATGAAACCTTCACTCTGCATGGCCTGAAACCACACCAGTGGCAGCACAGTCACACGGCAGAACACCAGTCAACAACCAAAACCACCCACCGGTGAAGCAGTCAACAGACATTAAGCTGAAAATGAGCTGAGAACCACTTGATGCAGATCTGTGCAATTCCACACGCATAGCAGCGCACGCTAACCCTAGTTAAACTGCCTGTTAAACTCAGAGGAAAGCAGGTATGAATCCCACAGGACTCTGGACAGTGGCCACCACCACTGCAGTGCACAAGAAAGACTTGAGTGCCGGGAAACATCCCAGGAGTGCAGCCCCACAGCGGGTACCAGGGCCATTGTGCCCCTTACCCTGGAACTCAGACTCGCCACCACCATGGAGCTATCGCCTTGGGCTGTGGCCCAGGCAGGTAAGCTCTATGCATTTTTTTTTTTTTTTTTTTTTTTTGGTGGTACCAGGGATCGACCTCGTGACCTTGCACTTACCAGGCAGGTGCTTATGCCGCTGAGCTAAATCCCCAGCCCGGGCTATCATTTTCAATGCTAATCACACTTAACACTACATTTTATGCTCAGCAATTTCTCTTAAAAAGGGGAGGGGGGTTAGATAGCACTGGGGAGGCTGAGGCAGGAGGACTGTGAGTTTGAGACCAGCCTGGGCTCCAAAGTGAGTTTACGGCCAGCTCAAACTACATATCAAGACCCTGTCTCTGGGAAAAGAAAAAAGAAAGGCTTGGAAATCTAACTGTAAATTCTAGAATCTTGGGTATGAAGTCAGCTTTACAGTGGCACAGAAGTAGGCAGCAAAAAGTTTTTAAAAATTTTACCAATGAAATAATGACAGGTAAATTACAAATTTAGGAAGGAGGCACAGAAAAAGAATTCTCAACTCCTTTCCCCAAAACAATAAAAAGAAAAACTCTTCTGATATAAGCAAAATTTATTTTAAAATGTAGATAGCACTAGTCCAAGACCTGGTGAACTGTCAGGCAAAAATGCTTTGTTAGGCTCGGTAGCATGGTGCACACCGGTAACCACAGCACTTGAGAAACTGAGGCAGGACTGCCACAACTTTGAGGCCAGTATAGGCTGCACAGTGAGTTCAAGGACAGCCTGCACTACACAGCAAGACTAAGGACCTCAGCACTCAGAGAGGCTGAGGTGATAGGGTACTAAGATTGAGCCCAGGCTGCACCACAAGGTGAAGTAGCAGGATCCTGCCTCGAAATAAAAAACTGAAGAGCCAAGGCCACAGCTCAGTGTGAAAGTGGCCAGTCCCCCGCGGGGCCGGGGCATTTAGCTGTGCCCAACACACACGTGCACACACACACACATGAAATGGCCCAGTGACATCCATCCCACCTCGGCAGGCTCTCACAGAGATGGGCTGCAGCTCTGATCCCTGTGGATTTCTCCCAGAGGTTTTCTGTGACAGGAGTGACCCCAAGAAGAGAACAAAAACGCCACACAGTTCAAGGGAAGAGGTGAGGAAAACATTAGGGGTCCAACTTTGCGACCTGGACCTGCCCCCTTGCTAAGTGGGGAGGGAAGGAAGGAGGAGACAGCGTGAGGACACAGAGGCCACAGTCCCTAAGAGTTTCAGCAACTTCTCGCAGAACCCTGAAGTCGGGTTCCCAGATGTGGTGAGCCTGGAAATCAGCAGACCCAGCCTGGGGCTTCACAAGTTCCTCTGGGAGCTGCGCATTTCCGCCCTTCCGTGTCAGCTCCTCCATGGTTAGAACGCATGTCTGGAGCCCGCGCAGAGAGCAACAGCAGAGGCACCCCGAAACTGCTTCCT